AGAAGTAGAATGCTTGCATAGCATTCTCAGGGCCCTAGGTTCCATCCCCAACACCACAGGAAAGAAAAATATTTTTAAAGGTTAAAAATAGTAAAAACTTTTGAAATATGTATAATATCTATGTATATATAATGTATATACACATATATGTACATAAATACATATAGAATCTATATATAATCACAGCAAATAAATTAAAACAAGCATTTTTCTCTTTATATACATTTTTTAAATGAAATCATTAAAATCAAAGCCTGTCTTCAGCAGCCCTCTTTAAATACTTAAAAAAAAAAAAAAGCTAAACTAATCAAAATCAAAGCAGCAAGGCAGCCTGGTGTAAAGGTCTGTGAGACCAGAATACACACTCATTGCTCCAGCTTCCCTAGGCACCACGACTGTCCTTAAATGGACTCTAGGACCAGTTCTAACCCCTAAATCATGGAATCCCTGGGCTGTCTGCAAATCTCATTTTAGGATAAGCTGTTGCTCCTTCAAGACCTGGCCACAGGCCTTGATACAGGAGTCTGGAAAAATGCACCTAAAGAGGAACTCTATCAAACTGGGCTACCATTCTAGCAGTCAGTTCTATTTGTTGACTAAGATGGCAAATTGTTACTTGTAGATCATTCTAAATGACCACCCAGGACAAAAGTGAAGCAATGCTGAAAAATCAAGTGCAAAAAATTACATGAAGAAAGGCTCATCTGGCCACACACAGACTAAGAAAATCAAACATTCGGAATCAGAAGTCAGTTTAGAGTTTCTCAGGGGAAAATAAAGAAAGATAACAGCACTGCTGGGATTATCTGCTTCAAACACACAAACGAATATGGCAAAGACTGAGATCTTCAAACTTTATTGAGATTGTTCCATTCTCCCCCAGATGCCCAAGTTGACATTTAATAATTCACCTTTGATTAATTTAAAGAATCAAGGTGATATTATATTTAACACCAACTAATGTTTCAACTGGCATAACTCCAACTGCCCCTTACATTTCTTAAGATGGAATTTGGGGGTGGGTTGAGGTGAGAGGTGAAAAACAAAGATAAATGAAAGTAAAGACACAAACTGACTGATTAGAAAGCCTGCAAAGAACAGTTACTTGTACCAGAGACAGGGATATTTGAAATCTACTAATACAAGGATATTAGCTGACAGAGGAATTTAATAATTTCATTTTTAACCCCCTCTGAGTATAAAGCTTACCCCAACAGATTTTTATATCATTTCTAGGTCACACATAAACTTCTGAACCAGATTATTCTTAAAAACATTACAATTTCTCCCCTGCTCTTTAACGTCACAACAATAACAATGCAACAAAAAGTAAACTTTATTTTTAGACTTGAAAAATTCTGTGTTTTATTTTTCTGAAACGGAATAAGTTAAAAAAAAAAAAAAAGAAAAGAAAGAGGAAACTGCTGTTTGGGTAATCCTACTTTCTCCTAAATCCTGGAACCCCAACCTCTCTCTAACCCAGAGGAAAGGAAGAAAAAGTTCTGAGTGCTCCTGTGCCACTCTGGAAAGTTAAAGACAATGTCTCTCCCTTTGGCTTTCTGCTCAGGCATATTCTAGCCTCCTGCTGGTCACCTTTCACACTGCTGAAGTCATATTATATGACATCTGCCTTATGGTGGGCAAAGGCTGTCAACTTAGCATTCATGTAGAAACTGGTTCAGTGTTTGAGCTACTAACTTCTTGCTTGTAATGTTTAAACAAAAGCATTAAACCACAAGTTCAATCAACTAGTATTACAGACTAAATGGAAATGGGTTTGTAATTCCCTATAAACATTAAGCCCTTCCAAAACCCATTCCAGCAATTTGGTTTTTCAGTTACAGGACCTCGACACAGGCCACCTCTTTTAGTTGGGAAAACATAAGATACATTTAAAATGTAGAAAAGCATTTCCCACAATATGATGTGCAAAAATAGAAGTAGAATAGGCAGGTATTCTCAAATTCCACTGGTAAATTTCTTTTCTTTTCCCCCGTTAATTTGATCAACCATAATTAACAGTGCTGTTACTACAAGCAGGAAGAGGCCCTGCAATTAATTCTACTTACATTAAGATTTCACCCATTAGCTCACGAAAGTGGACAACTCAAAATATTGTCTTCAAAAGGCAAAGCTTGCATTTTATCTCTAATAATTAGCAAAAAAAGCATAAAAATTGAGTATATGTAAATTCTGGCCAGATCCTATAGAAAACAATCAACCTTTAAACCAACCTCTCCATGTTAGGGACAGAGGGATAAATAAGACTCAAGTTCACAATTGGTTAGGGAAAAGTAGCAATAGAAATAATTAAGCACCTTACAAACTCACTCAGACTTCATGTCCCAGCTCAACTATGACCTCTTCTGAGGATTAGCCTTTTTGCATTCTCTCCCAGCACTCCTTCTCCCCTCTGGGCTCTCCCAGTCCTCACTGATCAGATCCTATGGAATCCTTTGCCTTGCTACCCTCCTCTCCTAGTAACTCCTGAAGACTCTGAGGGCAGGGACCATTGTGACTTGGTAAGCCTTCTGGTCTTATTGAGCAAATAAAAACTATGGATTTACATGCTATGAGGTATTTAAAAAACACAAATGCAGGGGAGCAGCCACTATACTTTGCCAGAGAGAAGCCAACAGAGGCTTCTCAGAAAATATTCACCCTGGATCTGAAAGCTGAGTGTGACTCACAAACAAAGAAAGGCACTTGGGACTTGGTGGGTAGCTCAGTGTTTAGCATGCATTCCTTGGGTTCAGTCTTCAGGAAAAAAAAAAAACTTTTTTTTAAAGACAGGCCCTCAGAGGAGGAAAAAGCCTGCAGAGATGGTAAGGATGAAGACCTGACGTGTTGTCAGAACAGCAGAGGATTCTGGTACAATCGCTGGAAGAATATGCAAGGAGGCATACAGGTTGAGGGTGAGGGGCTAACATATAGGCCAGGTTGAAGGGGTTTCATTTAAGAACTCTAAGTTTTGAGAAGCACCTGAAGTTATTCAATTCAAGCAGTGACATGAAGATTAATCCATTAAGAGTCTTCAGCCAGGTTATAAAAGATCTGGGTATCCAAAGAATTTTGTCTACACATGTCTATATAGGTTATCTGGACCTTTTGATTCCCAGATTACTGTCCTGCCCACCATTTTCATACACACACAGCCATAAAGATATATATACATACATATACATATGTGTGTATTTCATAGATCTATGAAATAAATACATAATTGAGTTTCCTCCACACAGTAGCAGGCAAAATAAAAACTAATTTATACACCTAATGAAATTTCTTTAGCAATGATTTTTCCAAGGGGGGGTAAGGAATTAAAATTTTTAAGTAAAAGGCTGAAAAAATATTTGAATTCCTTTGTATCACTATCCTTTGTATCACTATCCTTAAATATCAAGATTATGGGACAGCAGCACCCCATCCCAGTGTCAATAAGGATAGAAGCTAAGAGCCCACTTTACCAGAAGCCTTCTTTAGGTGACAAGACATAACTGAAGGATCCAATAGAGAAGGTTCTAAGAGAAGGTCCTTCACGTGCTTGGTTGGCCCAACGAAAAGTAAAGCCGGCTTCTTGCCGTTCGACTTTGCAAGCACTTAAAAATGTAAGATAGGGTGATATTTTTGAGCCGGATAGAAGGGACCTAAAGACAGAGTGCAGAACACAGGCAGCCTCAGGTTCCACTCTAGCAGATGAGCCCTGGACCAGAGAGAAGCATCCGCCCGGTGCCAGGCAGTAAGCCAGGGCGCCCGCTCTCCCCGGCAGCCGGGCTGGGAGGCAGGCGGCGCGCCCGGGC